AAAAAATAAAAGTTATGGAAATTTAGGCTTATAAGGCTTTTATGTATTTAAAGGCTAAAGTTTTGTAATCAATACTTAAAATTTTTTCTTCCTAGCTGTTTTAGAATGCCTACTTGCTACATTTGTGAACTGCTTCAATAGCAACTAATTAGCTAGTAATACTCTTAATTCCTCCTTGATGAGTTAAGCCTAGTAATGAAAATAAGCTTTGTTAGTTCATTAGAAGGTTTAGTTCGCTGGATTATTCTAATGGCCTTGTGAATTTCAGACTCCTATGGTTCAATTACAGGATAGAGTGAATTAGGTTAAATTGAAGTTATAAGTAACTACCAGTGTTTTGCAAAATGAAATATATAATATTGAAATAATTTGGGGGCTGCTCTTAATAGTTTCAGCTTAGGGTATGTTGAGATTTCAGAATAGTGGAAAGAAAATTTGGTACTCAAAAGGATTTGGGTTTATATATTGATGAACTAATTCATTACTTCAAAAAGCATCGTGTGTGTGTGTGTGTGTGTGTGTGTATGTGTGTGTGTGTGTGTGTGTGTGTGTGTGTATGTACCCTATAATTTTTATTGCAGCCTGGAAATAATGTAAGACATACTTCCTATGCAGTCATGTTTAATGTAGTCTCTACTTTCTCCATATCTAATAATAAAATGTCTATAAACTTGATAATTTAGAAAAGCTTTCTGTACTCATTTGACACTGTAACCTTTTAAATTTAAGATATTTAAAATTCTACAAGGAAAAACTACTTATCAAATCGCTGGTATTTTGTCTTAAAATATTGAAATCCTCAATAAAGAAACCTGCATGAATCCTTTAGGTGAGTGCCTTAGTGACAAGAACTTGTACCATTTGAAAGTAGATAATACATTTTCAGAGAAATCTGCAGAATTATTTAGTGATATAGGAGAAGAGGATGTTTAGTTTGATTTGAATGAAATTGGTTCTGTGAATGGTTATGTCTTTGATTTTCCAAGGAAAATACTTGTGGAAAAAATTCTCCAGTGTAACATGATCTAAAGGTATACAATCAACTTAAAGTTCTTTTGACTGAAAGAATTCATTAATACATCACAGTGCCTCTTAATTTATATTGTGGGTATATGATATCCTTTGCACACTAAAGGTATTAAACTAAAAAGTTAAAGAAATTATTTAATATTTGGTTTATTTTATTTGTTTGTTACTTTGTATTTTGTTTTGTTTCGTTTTGGCCTTTGCTAGTTAAGTAGGAATACATTGATTTGTGAGTGAAACTAAAGGAATGAAGTTGGTAAAACAATAGTGTTTCAGAATTGCCCGGGATTAGGGAGATGTTAATTGATTGTTGGAAATGTAATTCTATAAAGATTTACTGCTTAATTGAAGTTCAAACTTTAACTAGCAATGGCAGGGAGCTGGTGTGGTGTCAGGTGAAAATATTGATCATTTATCAAATGCACAGCCTTTAGCTTTGCTTGTACGTCCTGGTAGATCTGGGAAAACTTCACATCTCTGTGCATCTTGTCCTGTGTGTGAGGTGTTCATTTCATATCACAAATAGCACAAGGTGCGATTTTGACATCTTTATTGATGAACTTTTTCTTTTCTTTAATCCACTCCTGAAGTGTCCTTGGCTTACTTACCTGCTTTTTTTTTTTCTTTCCTATTCACAGTCCTTGAGTAGCTAAAAAGCAACAAGTAGCTTGGTTATTTAGCAAAAATGCAAAGGAAAGTGGCTCTTCATAAGTATCAAGCTCGTTTTCCGCAGCATAATTCTCGGCTAATAAAGGCAATTGGAATTGTCTACCTCAAAAGAGAGGAGCAGTGCCGGAGAATGCCGGTAACCCTTGCTTACTTTCCTATCAAGTGGCTTATGCTCCTGGTACTTTTGGAAAGCTCAGGCTAAAGACTGTTATATAAATTTCACAACCATTTTATTGAAATTAATAACCGCATAAACAAAAATAATTCCACTTAAAATATTTTTTTCTTGAGTTTTTTATTTTTATGCAGCAAATAAGTAAAACATTCATAGTAATTCAATCTAGAGAATATTTGTCAAGACAGGCATTCTGGAAAGTCTGTATCTCTTGGCTACACCCAGAATATTTTAACTCTATCAGAATAAGATTCAGTTTGAGTAACATTAGCATACTGTTTCCTCAACTGTAGTATAAAACTTAATTAGTACCATCAATCTAAACAAATTGTACCACAGGTTATTTTTAAATAGCTAAATTATCTACTACAGTAATATGAATTCAAACTGATCATCTCCAAACAAAAACAGACTATTAAAATGATACATAAAATTTATGATGAAAGGTATACATATCTTATTTCTCTATGTAGTTGCAATTCACCTTACAAGAAGAACACATTAAAAAAAAGAACACATTGCAATCATTGTGTTAGAAGTCCACTGCCTGAAGTTGGGTGTTGACTGGCAAAACCTGAGGGAGAAATGATGACCACAAAAATATCTTCAGAGATATCCAAACTCTTAAGTCTATCCTATTATTAAATCTGAGATGACCAACTCTTACATACAAACTGACTCACTCGCAGATATGCCTAAGTGAAAGTAAGCATCTTTATGAGTCCACGCACACAGCTGAGTTCAGCCTTGGATAACGACCTGTCCATGAGCGAGATGCTCCCCAGTGTGCACTAGTGCAGAAGCACCTGCCGAGAGGAAACCCGAGGCCCTAGGCAACTGTCTGGTACCTCCAGCACACGTCTGCTCATTTTATACCTGCCCCGGCTATCTTTGTCAGAGGCCTACAGGATTTGAATTTTGACCTTTCACAAAGAGGTAAATGTCTTCCTTATATTTATGAAGATATATATATCAATCAGTCCCACAGTCTAAAGTCACTGGTCCTGAAATTTTTGAGGATAAGCAAAGAATTTCATCTGATTAGATAGATGAGGCCTCAACCCATCCTAAACACAGAAGAAGATATTGAGATTTTATGTTCAAACATTAACTGCCATTTAACTTATACTTTACCATGTTTAAACAGCTCTTTTCCCTTTCTATTTATGATTCTCTTTTTCTCTGTTTCTATTTATTTCTCTCTCTATCTTTTGTGTGCCTCTTTTGTGTGTCTCTCACTCTGCCTCTTTCTCTCTCTGCCTCTGTCTCTCTTTTTGTCTCTCTCTCTCTCACTCACTTTTTTCTTACTTTGCTTTTACAAAAATGTTTCTTTTTTTGCTGGAATAAACATTCATTTCATCAGGTTTGTGTTTAGAATTTTGATAGATTAACTTCATCAAAATCTTTCTTTCAATAATATGGCTTCATGTGATTATTATGAAATGTCAACTTGATTTTTTACTTTTTGGTTGCTTTGTACCATTAGGGAATAACTGATGAATTGGTATAGTCTATTCAAATATATTTCATTATGGCATTTAGTATAATATATGGATGGATCATTGTAATATAGTTATTAAGAAATAAAACAGACAAAACTATGAATTGCTGTAGATTAACAGGAAAACATTTGACACTCTACAATTCAGAAAGTGCAGGCTCAGCCATAATAAACCCAGGGTTTCCAGGCTTGACTCATATATCAACCTTCAGGACAGTTGAGCAAAGTGAAACAAGCTTGCTCCTGGCATTTCATATTATTATTACATATATCTATATTATTATATGTTATTTGTATATACTGTAAATATATATAATGTAAATTATAAATTATATATGTAATGTAACTTATAAATTATATGTATACAACATTTTTGCATGTATCTCTGAACAGAATTTAATGCAATGGGCATATCAAATCAAATGGAAAACTGGACAAAGGTGGTGTCTTTACTTTTTCAAATAATCCATTTCCTTTGAATTGTTATCTTGATCATTCATTGCTTAAAATACAAGACTAAGAAAAATTTTCTGCTTTTGTGCTTTTTCTTTTCAGAACAATAGCCACAATATTAGAAAAACTTCCATATCTTTAACAAATCTATTACATTTTAAATGAAACCATTCATTAATTTTTCTCGCATTTAATTCATAATGAAGCAGACCTCCAACATTACCACAGCTTCCCTGCTGTGTACTCTGTTGATTACATACCAGGAGAATAGTAGAAGAGGGTTTTGTTGTGATGCACAGTGACAAATTAGCATCTTTCCATGAATGTAAGGCATTGAAAGCCAAGACCAGGGATAGCAGAAGGTCCCGATCCTGTCTGGCAAACGTAGACTCCATGCATATATCCTAAGCAATAGCAATTAAACCAAGGCCATGCCGTATCAGCTTATTCTGCAACTTTCAATGGAAAAAAGTATTT